AAAAAATATTTCCCTTTAACTGACAATTTTCATGTAAAACAAAATCAAACGAACACTAAATGATAGATGATTTTCTTGAATTTTTTGAATTTATTTTTTTTGGTAATGGAAACAAATTTCATCTCCAATACCAGTAAAATATATCTCTTTAATTGACAATTTTCATGTAAAACAAAGTCAAACGAATAGCAAAAAATATTTTTATTTCAACATTTTTCATGTGAAAAATTATACCAATCAAACACAATAATTTACGATTCCCAAAAACACAATTTCTAAGTAATTCAATTTCCTGTAATTCATTTTCAATTCAATCCAATTTCATCTTTGCAATCAAACTGACCCTTAGACTCTTAAATATGAGAAAATAATATCGACATATTAAAACCTATTCAGAAATATTATGAGATAGGAAGTGAAAGGGAACATCGAAATTTAAAATTATGGTCATAAAATGTGAAGGAAAAAAAAAATCTATCTTCAAAACATTGATGAATAATTAATTAAATAAAATGAAGTGAAGAATACCGTACACACGTGTTTGAAACAAAGATGCATGACAGTTATTAAGGCCCATATGATGTAAAATTGGGGCCTTCTCTAATTTGTCCTTGTAAACAACGTGCCCTATTTGGTGAGATTAAAACCAAATTTTTAATAAATTTTGATGAAAGTTGATAAAAAGTGTCATTAAAAGTTGTCCGACTCATAAAATATGTTATTAAAATTAATTGTTGAATTTTGATTTAAATTAAAATTTGAATTTTAATAGATACCAATCTATTTTAAAAATTTTCAATAGATACCATGATGAATCTATTAAACATTTCTTGTCGCATTGTTGAATGAAGGTAAGATTTTCAAATTAAAACTTGAGAATCTCCTTTCAGCATATGCAACTATAATTGATATAGTCAATAATATTCTATAAACAACCCTGAAAAAGAGTAATTCATCGATTTTTGTAGTCTACTATTTCAATATTCTTTTTGGTCTCTTTGGCAAGCAATTTCTAATAATTTGCAGCTCAAAACATAACTTCTGACAATCAATGTTAGAATTTCAGTCTTGTTTTAAAAATTCTACAAACTTGCCACACCAGCACTTCAAACAATTATTATCCACAATTTGCATTTTTTTAAATTAAATTTAAACCCAAAAATAATTTGTAATTATTCCGACCTTAACTTAAGTGAAAAAAGAGCTCGATCAACCATATAAGAAATAATTAGCTCTAATAGATTATTCAGTGGAATATCTTTTCATTAACATTTTCATTAAAGTGCTTCTTTTTATGAATAATACACATTTCATGAAACGGAGGTTCAACTTTCATTTAATCATAAATTTCTTCAGCCATTTTAATCTTCTCAGATTCAAATTCAATTATTCCAAGTGCTTTCAAGTAATTAATAATAGCATAAATAAACATATCCTCATTTTTGCAACATTCTGATCATATCATTAACAATATAAAATGTATTGTGTAAGCGTTATGCCCTAGATCCAATCGATTTAGATTGTAAACGCTTTTAATATATTTAATGTATTTGATTTTGGCGAGATCTATTATTTATTTAAATTAATTTTGTGATAAATAATATTAAATAATAGAATCCGAAGATCCAATTTTTAGATAATCTGTTAATCACAAGGAGTTGTGATTGTGAGATACAAATTATATATAATTGGATCTTGAATAAACCATGGTCGTAACTAATAACGAGATACGAATATCGTTAATACAGTTAGACCACCACGTGTGGCATTTCTTACTTGTGAAGTAAGTAGCTGATCTCATGAGCTAAAGTGTGGTGATACTTAAATAAACACGTGGATGTTTTGTTATAGAACAAAACATTGAAGACCCGCTAAGAGATTCCACAAGGATAACTATCTGAGTGTCAGTGGCTAATCTCTAACGTTCGGTAGTGGAATTGGTCCTTTAACTTGAGGTCGTCATGGTACCTTATATGAGGACAGTCATACTTTGGCAGTATTGGATGTTGCTCTGAAAGGGGGCCGCTAATACGACATCGTTGGGGTACGTCAAGAATCGTATAAAGGTTGTGATTGATCAATAAATGATTCGTCACTCTTAGATAGTAGAAGATTATGATCTGCGTTTCATTCAATTAAGTCGATAATGAAATCCTTAGCCAAGGTGTACTCATAAGTCGAAAAGGAGTTTTCGATTTATATTGACTTAATAGTGGAGTGAAAGATATGATCAATGATCGAGATTGACACAATTCCATATCTCGTAATTGATCGGATCGTATTGACAAAGGGATAATAGTTTTACGGTAAACGAACGAATTTGGTCTTGTCATACCATTTGACATTTCCCGTCACATGTATTACCCTGATACATTACTAGATGTCAATCAGGGATGGTGAGTATAAATTGACGATAAATTAAAAACGGTGTATTAATTTATCAATTTTGATTAGATCAAAATAATATTTCATGACGTGATGCATCGTGGTCGGGAATCTAATGGGTCGCACACAAAAGAGAATTGGAAGATTGCAAATTGCCAATTGGTTAATTTAACAATTGTTGATAAATTAATTAATTGAATTTGTTATTTATATTCCCGAATTAATTAATTGGATTAATTAATTCACGGATCGGGTTTAATTAATTGGATTAATTAAATATTGGACCGGACCGGATCGGGTCCGTTTGTGTTTATATATATACATAGTTAGGGTTTGAGGTCCATAAAATTTTCATTATTCTTGCTGGCACAAGAGAGAAACCCTAGCAGTTGCAGTCTATTCTCTGTGTGGATTTCATTGGAGGCTGGACAATTGGACAGTTGTAGGAGGCAGATTCAAGCTGCTGGAAAGGAATAACGCGAAAGAGTTTGCAAATCACAAAGAAAAAGTATATTTCTTATCGCAGTTTTTATCTAAATACAAAGTTGAATCCTGAATGAGAATTGAAATTTGTTAAATTTCGCTGTGCATGTTTAAGTAAATTCCCTACATATTTTGTACCAACAACCATGCTGGATTCAAAATCCATACCTTGTACTTGATTTTGAATAAATTTTCAATTTCTCTTTCCTTTTTTCTTTTTCATTTTTAATATCTTAAAATTCAAAATGCCAAAATCCATACCTTGTTCTCGAGATTGAATAAATTTTCAATTTTCCTTATCTTTTTTCTATTTTCATGTTCTAGACAAATACTTTCTAGTGAACAAATTAAAGAATCCACAATCCAAAATCAATACAAGATTAAACTTTATATTAATTGATAAAATAACGGAATCTGGTAAGAGATTTTCACTTATATGGACAAATATTTTCTTTCAACAACAAAATAATTAGAACGAGAGTATGTTAAGAAATATTATTCTTTAAAAAAGTAGATACTAGTGATTAACATAACAAAGAACTTTAGACAATAAAAATATAATAAAATTATGTATCAAGAAGAATTAACATTTAACTTTTACCATTTTAATTTTTTTGGGATCAAAGCTAATATAACATGTCTACATCTCTTAATCTATTCATATTTCTTTAACCAGCCAATATAACCTTGCATACTTATAGTTAATTAATTTAACCATAGTCGAGTTACCATCTGAGTACAATTTACAAATAAAAGATATGAAGAGAAATTTGTAAAAAAATGTACTAGTCAAGAAAAGTAATAATAGAAATATATTCCATATATATTCTGATAGTAGTCAAAGCATCATTACAATAAAAATGGGATATAGAAGTAACAATAACAATTGGAAAATCTGACCAGTTTTTTACTTTCATATTGTTGACGACCGACCGCCGATCTCACATCTATTAATCGCAAGGCCCACCTCATACACGTGTGGGCTCGATCATAAAAGTTCAGCTTGGCATATCACCGTTGTCATTTCGACGGACA